ACAAAAAACGCAGTATCGTAGAGAATGCCCATATCTACCAGACTGCTGAATCTGAATCAGATCGGATCATAATTATAGCCAAAATGAAGACAAATGTACGAGAGTGCTGTGAAAAACCATTGAAACGGGGGGAATGCAAAACGTTCTTTTGCAAAAACTGTCGATATCCCTCTGATGATTGTCGAAAAGCACATTTATCAGGCTGTGCGAAATCATTGAATAAAACTTTTTTCTGGTGAATGCAATTTAGCGTACAATAATAGTTTTTCTAACGTTTATTCCAACAGCTATAGCCCAGGGGAAGACATGTATATGGGTGCTTCATGAACGCTATTTCTTTTGGGTGAAGCGAAGTATTCAAGTCAGATATTTTGTGGCTTTCTGTGCAATGGAAATTACTTCTTTACAGTCGAGTAAATGACGAGAAGTGTCACACAGAAAAATCAAAACTTTGTTTTTACCTTTGATCCCTTTTCCCGACTTCGAACCCTGAAATCAGTGTTTAATTGGCAGCATTTTTAATGCTTGAGTGGCCCATAAACGGAAAAGCAGGCCACAAAGGTTGCTACGAGTAACCTACTCATTGAAGCCCATTCCTCTGCGAATTGTCAAATTATAAAGACCAAGGCCGGCTTCAAAACAAGGCCCATTTCAATGCCAATGATGATAAGGGTTTAACCCTTTTATTGATGTGAAATTATAAAACTGACAGCATCACAGGAAATTAAAAAAACGAGAAGGAACGTGCGAGTCGCTTTTGGGGACGCGACTCTACTTATACCCGTACTCAGTCAGCATATACATTTTTGAGCATATGATTTTTTAGAATAGTGAATATAAAAATTTTACATTTTACATTTTTTTGCTACATCTGCTATCTACATCTACAATGTATATTCTACATCTAACATGGCTGGGCCAAAATTTTACAAACAAATTTTTTTTTTGTGTTTTCAAGCGTACACCCCCTTATTCTGTTCTTTGTTAGTAAATAAAATTAGAAATTATTTTTTTTAGATGTTTAGTTTAATGTTTGGGGTTGCTACCACGAAAAGAAAATACACTATTTTTGGGTGGTTAGTGGTTAAATATACATAAACCGAGAAGGAACGTGTGAGTCGCATCTGGGGACGCGACTCTACTCATACCCGTACTCAGTCAGTATTTACATTTTTGAGCTTATGATTTTTTAGAATTTTAAAATTAAAAAAAAACGAGAAGGAACGTGTGAGTCGCTTCTAAAGACGCGACTCTACTTATACCCGTACTCAGTCAGTATTTACATTTTTGAACATATGATTTTTTAGAATTTTAGAATTAAAAAAAAATTTTACATTTAACATTTTTTTGCTACATCTGTTATCTACATCTACATATATTATGTATATTCTACATCTAACAAGTAGATTATACATGTACCATTTATATTCTACATCTCCTCCGCTAGGGGTTGCTCGCGCACTGAACGCGGCAGAGTGTGCCAGCGAGATGGAAAATGAGTTGTGATGTCGTTGACAGGAGAGGGCAGGGGAAGCAACTGAAAATTAATTTCGTCATTCTGGCTATAATTATGATCCGATCTGATTCAGATTCAGCAGTCTGGTAGATATGGGCATTCTCTACGATACTGCGTTTTTAGTTTAATCGTATCTTTTAAAATGTGCCTGCCACAGATTTTCGTCCTTTGTGGGGGCGGGGCGAAATTTTGAAATACACTTGTAGCAGTGGGATATCACATGAGTCTGGAAACCAAATTTGGTTATACATTTTGACCAAATTGAACATTTGATTCATTAATTTGTAATTCTTGAGGAAGCTATTTATAGAAAAGTACAAAATTGTTTGTGCAAACCAGGCCGCTTGTGTAGCCGCTTATACACAGATTTGTTTCTACAAATTTATAACATAGATTAAAATATATTATAGTTTGTATTTTTTTGCTTCATCTGTCATCTACAACTACATCTAAAATGTAGACTCTACATCAAAAATGTAGATTCTATCTACAATGTAGATTGTGACGACTCATAATTTTGGTAGATTATAAGTTGTTATAATTGGTAGGTTTAAGTACTGAGCAGGGACACCATGAGGAGAAATTATGAAGTTTTTGTTATATATTATTAAGAGTATAATTTTCCATTATTATTTTCTAAGTTATATTGTAAGGTGAAATTCTGAAGTCATAATTTAAGTTCGCGGCCCACGGTAGCCAGCAGCAGAGCAGAGAGAGCCAGGAAACAGAGCCAGCAGCAGAGCAGAGCAGAGAGATCCAGAAAACAGAGGCAGCAGCAGAACAGAGAGAGCGACGACGCGAGCAGAGAGCCAGCAGCAGAACAGAGAGAGCGACGACGAGAGCCGAGAGCCACAAGCAGAACAAAGAGAACGACGACGCGACCCAGAGAGCGAGAGAGAGCAAGGGCGCCGGCAGCAGCCCGAGAGCGGCCAACAGCAAGAAAGCCACGGGCGTGGGCAGCGACGGCAGCGCAGCCCGGACAAGGGTCCGCAGCTAAGGGCTCGCGATCGCCAGGCAGAGCTCGCCTCGAGGAGAAATATTTTGGCAACCAAGCGGACAAGTCGCGATCGCTGCGAAGAAAAGGTCCCAAGTCAGTGGGCAGTGACACACGTGGGACGAGGACACACACACCCACCGGGTTACAAGGATCGCAACGAGGACAAGGCGCCAGGCGAGGAGACACCCAGAACCATAAGCCCTAGAGGATCGTGTAAGCAAGGCTGCGTGATGCATCCCCTTTACCATGGCTGAGTCTAGTGCGAATAGGCAGGGACGTAGGAAATGTAATGTGTAACAGTGTAAATTTAACCCTTTCCCCCTCCCAAAGTGCAAGACGGTAAGTGTGGTCGCCCACCGTTGGAGGCTCCGCTGGGCTGGTCGCAGGTCATTACCGCGCCAGACCGCGGGCTCCCAAACGGCGCGTACCTGTCTCCGGAACGGGTGCTTCATAGGTACTACCAGGGGCACTCGAGTCGGAGCCGACAGGGGCGGCTACACTGCCAGAAGGCGCCTCCGCTAACCACCGGATGACCGGTGTCGATCAGGTTCCCTTCTCTCCCCATACGCCCACCTTTCCACACACGGCGTCTCCATTTCCGCAATCTCGGGTCCCGGCACTTTATAAATTTCTTTGTAAGGTGGCCCTGGAGAGGCTGAGCTTACCTCAGCCTTCGAAAAGACTACCTTACAAGATTATACATATTCTCAGCGAAATGTCACACACTGCACAGGGCAGAGTGTGTGCGAGCGATAAAGAGAATGAGTAGCGTCTGGTGTGCAGTTGGAGCGGGTAAATAACTGATGGTCATGGTCATTCTCTACGATACTGAGTTTTAGTTTAGTTTTCTCGTATTTTTAAAATTGGGGCTGCCACAGATTTTTGTCCTATGTAGGCGAAAGGGAGCGGGGTGAAATTTCGAAATACACTTGCAGCCGTGTGATGGCTATATCGACTCGGTTATTGATGCTGATCAAGAATATACAGTAGCGGGCACAGAAATCCGGACACTCAAAAATAAGTGCATTTTTTTGTTTTATACAATTTTGGTGTTTCTCAAGAAAAAAGCTTGATTGGCTCGTTCCAAACAGTAAAATGTGATTTTCGGGTTAGGGTTAAGGCGGTAGTTGGGGAGAGGGGGAAATTCCCCCCACGACAACCCACTTGGTCCTGCCACAGGACCGTTGTGATGCCGCATGGGTGTGTACCCCTTCTCCCCAACACCGTGGTGAGCAATCTGATTTCGGAGTTAAGGACAGTCCCATCCGGTGGCTCGGATGTATTTGGACAATATCCCTGGTCTGATTTCGGACAGGTCCGAAATGTCGGTGAAGAAGGGAGCCCCAAGAGGCCGTAGCCTACGGTTTCCCAGGGCCGGACAGTGACAGAAGAAGTGGGGGACCGACTCCTCCTCCTCCTCGTACCTGCAGCTTCAACAGAAGTCGTTATGAGGGATTGACAGTCTGGCAGCATGTGTGCCGATCTGACAGTGTCACGTGATGGCTCTGATACGGTAGAGCACTGTACTCTGCTGAGACGATAGAAATAGCCTCGTTTATTGCTTCAACCTCCGCTTGGAACACACTAAAGTGATCCGGGAGTCTGAAACAATGACTAATGTTGAGCTCGTTACAGTAGACGACACCACCCACACGGCCGTCTAACTTTGAGCCATCAGTGTATATGTGGATCGCATTTGCGGGTCCAGGTTCGCCCCTCTCCCAGTCCTCCCTGAGTGGGATTGATACCTGGAAGGGCGTCGAGAGGTGATCACTCGGTATACCGTAAACTGTCCCCTCCGATAGTTGCGGGAGTCTTGTCAAGATTCCCGAGTGTCCAAACGTGGATGCTTTCCAGAGTTTGGATTCTCTCATTCTGAGAGCTTTTTTCCACCTTTTTCCCCGTGAGTTCTACAGGGAGAAGGTACAACATGGTTTCGAGGGCTTCGCTTGGGGTTGTGCGTAGTCCGCCCGTTATGCATAGCTCTGCCATGCGTTGGACACGGCATACAACCACTCCGTAGTTCTGCAGGAGAAAAAAGAATTGTCATCATGGTCATCATGGTTCGGTTCCTTGAGGAAAAATCGAGTCGTGTAGTGTAATCAGTGTTTGACACATCAGAGTAACTACACCAGTCTTAAGCCATGAATGGACTGCATTTTCAGGTTGTGAGTCGCCCGAGTCTCCCAGTCTTATCTCGGTATAAATATCTGGATAGTCTTTGGGAGGTGATCAATAGCATTCTTCTTGTTAAGGACTGGACAATGTCCAGTGAACATCATACCACGACTTCGTAGAGCATGATTGGTCGTATGATGGCGGTTTTGGTTTCGACGGTTTCGTTCCTGAAATTTCGATGTCAAAGATATTTAAATGCAGCTGATGTTTTTTCCATGGTAGCATCCATGATCAGTTGGTCAATTTTTCCAGAAATGTTTCACACCCCAAACCACTCAATAATGATTATGTAAAGTATTATGGTACATATTTTGTTACATACAGAAGAAATTTATTTTGAATGGCTTCATGGGATGTATAATATGTGTTCTATCTTAAATCGACTTGTCCATTTTATTGGAGATCATATGGTATGCCAATTATATAAATATATACGCATGCTTCCATTTTCACTTAATTTATCGTGCTGCGATTTGATCAAAATAATTTTAATTAGTTTTCAGGAGACTTAAAACTTCTTGATTACCAATTTACATTTTTACTTCGCTTCTGACGTAAATCACACTTAACGTACCAAATCACATATCTGAGGCTTGGTCAAACAAATAATTTAATTAGATTACCGACAAGAACGAAATTGTAAGTAACTTCAATCAAATAAAAACATTTTTTTATGTTATTCAGATGCGTATTATTACAGTAAACTTTTAATAATATAGAAAATATGAAATTGAAAAACGTGCCGCATTATCATTTTGTACCCAATGAAAGATTTTTATTTGTTTTCTAAATGTCGGTTCAATTTGACTTCGCAATGATTCATTTTTGTATTATTATTATAATTGATCAATAGATGCCGAGTTTAAGTTACTTCCACCCAGCTGATTATGAGCTATCATTAATATGTCCTTTTTTTCTTTTGGAAAGCGTAATTCCCGACCAGCCATGCGAGAAGTCTCTAGCTCTCGTTCGGCCAAAAGCAACTCCCTTCGGATAACGCCAGGGCTCTCATGCTCACGAGCTATCCAATCTAAAGACATCTGTGCACGCATTTCGTCATCCAAACTGCGGTTCGAATAGTGCGCCACTACTTCTTGCCTTGAACAATGACGTTCTCGCATTGCCTTTAAAGATCCATTCCAATGCAGGAGTTGGAATACAGTCATCAGTTCTTGGAATTCCAGCATGGTTCTTCCCTTATTTGCTTCCAGCATAAACCTGAATTAAAACAGGAATTATTCAGTTAATGGGCGAAGCTTGAAATACCCTTGCAGATATATTTGTGTGATAAAACAAGATACTTCGGGGCGCCGAAGATTATATAGGTACATACCCTTGCAGTTAGAGGACCAATAAATCTTTATATATATAACAGGCTTTTAGTCTGCGAAGAAAACCCTGTCCCTACACATCTATATGTCGTTGTTATGGCATCTCTAAAGTTGCCATATTTCCACCAGTTGGATACTTGTAATGTGTGCAAAAATTTGTTTTTTCAACTAATTTTTAAATAAAACTTTTTTTGTACGAGCCATTAAGTGCGAGCCGTAAAATCGTATTCCAAAATACTATGCTACTAAGCTATATACATATTTAGTGAAACTTTGCGACATTACCCTAAATAAAAACGCATCATTAGTATGATGCGGAAAGATTATAGGCGTATATTGGACTCGTTTAGATTATGTAACAAGTAGAAGGAAGAGGTTTCGACCCCATTAGGAATGGGGTATACAAATATATATATTCTTGATCAGCATCAATAACTGAGTACCTCCCAAATCGGAATCAGTGGCATCCACAATCTAGATGATACGAAAAAACCGAAATGACCTAACAAGTTTCATTTGATTTAGGGCCATATTTCATATAGCTGCCATATAATAAATCATATAAACTTACCCCAACTTTGTTTATAAAGCTATTGAAGTGAAAATTGATTTGTGTACATATTTTACGGTCGCAAGATGACCGAGGGCTTTAACGTTTTTATTTATTAACATAATAATGCTTTTCATTTAAATGTTTTTGAGTGATAGGTTGCAATATGTGCTGATGTACTGCATATTATGAACGATTGTTGTTGATCCAAATGTCTACACATATTGTACTACAAAAAATTGATTTTTTCGAAAACGTATCTGCACACTTTGGTTAATAACTACTCACTTAAAACTCTTTGCCATGCAAAAGTACTGATCCTCGAAACACAACTACATTTGTTAAGGACATTCTAAAACTACACATACTCAAAACATGTCACAATTGGACAGAAACATATAACATCGACACAAATATTTGTTAATTATAGTTTTAAATACCTGGATAATCGTTTTCACTTTTATATAAACTTTTGCCAGAACTAGCAATCAAAGTTGTAAAATTTTAACAATTTCATACAAAACATACATATGGTACATAGAAACAAACCACTGTGGGACCAACTAGAATATTGGTATATGTGCAAAACAATAGACTTCGTTTATGTACAATTAAATAAAAAGTATATGTATATCAATATGAAATGTATAAGTTATATCAATAAATAATAAGATGTATAATAAGCAGAACTGTGGACAGGGTAGTAGAACGTGTTTTCAATTGATATTTTTTTTAGCGATGAGGTGCTAGTTCATACCTAATCCGTCATAACATGACATTAATTAATTTATATTTAAAAGTTTCATTCTTTTTTTCTATGTTAAAAATAAAAGAAAATTAAAAGCTTAAATTAATAATAATCTATATACTATGTATATTCTTTTGGAATTTATTTTACCTGAAAGCTTCAATTCCAGACTCTGTTCCATCATTGCCTTGTAGTGTTGCCTTGAAAGAAGCACGTGCATCCTGTACTGCCTTCAAAATAAACTCGTCACTGATTCGACGCGACGGATGTTCATTAAATACAGAGTTCATTAAAGCAATTTTAGCCGAGCTACGTCTTGCTTCCGCCTTTGTTGGACAGTTCTAAAAGAGCATATCCCAGTATAAAGTTTGGTTCTTATATAAAAAATTCTATGTACCTGAAAGCTACCAAAGCAACTACCCCCAGGCAGTGTTACGAAACATACATAAGGCTGGCTGTTGGACGGAATCGATTCGTATATAACAAGTGCGCCGTTTTTAAGGTCCGCTCCTCGTGACTGTTTCATTTGCCAAAATTCTTGAAGTGCTTCCACTACATTAACTAAAACACATAACATTCTTACATAAACAGACACTTTCGTACAAAGTTTTAAATTCAAACGTACCTCTATAATCTCTATCTTCGTAAAATCCAGTTACCGTGGGTAAAACCCAAAAGGGTTCCTCAGGGTAAACCATTATGAAGTTACTTAAGTATGCGTTGAATTGAGAAAATATGAAATAAAGTTGTATTAAATATTGTTAAAAAATAAATTAATAATAAGGCTTTGCCTACACAGTGAACCTTCCATGATCAGCAATCAGTTGTGATCATATAACATACATTATTAGTTTGAGCCAGAAAAATTTATTTTTTTTAAATTTAAACGTGACACCACTTTATTTTGTTATCTTGGGTTTGATAGTAATATTAAGGTTTTTAGTTTTTTTTAAACACATTTTTAGAGAAGGCTACTATTTAATAAAATTTTACTGAATGAATTGTATAATGCTGTGACATTTTTTGCATTTCTTGATACTATTAATATCGCCATTAATCAGTTATTGGCAGTAAAAAACCTGCACAACTTTTTGCGAACTAGTTAACTAAATATATCAACCTTAGCTGAACTTCTTGATTTTCACCAACAGTTAACAGTACCTAAAAAAAATAAAAATACCTTTTTATAAATATGAACTAGTTTCTAAGTTTTAATATTATTTGAAAAAAACCGACGAATTCAATTTTTTTTAATGTATATTTAACCAAAAAAGTATATTTTCTTTTCGTGGTAGCAACCCTCAAACATTAAACTAAAGATTTGAAAAAAAATTTATAATTTTATTTACTATCAAAGAACAGAACAAGGAGGTGTCCGCTTGAAAAAACAAACAAAAAAAGGTTTGATCAAATTTTGGCCCAGCCTAATGCATATTCATAATGTATGCCAAAAATATGCATAATATATGGGCATTTCTCTGACGAGGTCCACCGAGACCAAGCAATTCAATTTATTAATTAAATTAAAACACATTTCCGTATAATTCTGTTGCGAAATTATGGTATACATGTAATCACGACAACTTACAATTTTGATATGAATGAAAACGTATTCAAATAAGCTTTTTTGGTATTTTTGTTTTATTTTTTATACCCGTACTCAAAAAAGAGTAAAGGGGTATATTGTATTTGTGGTAAAAGTGGATGTGTGCAACGCAGAGAAGGAAACGTTTCCGACCCCATAAGGTATATATATTCTTGATCAGCATCAATAGCCGAGTCTATGTATGTCTGTCTGTCTGTGAGTCTGTCCGTCTTGATAAGCGCCTAGATCTCAGAGACTATAAGAGCTAGAGCAACCAAATTTTGTTTCCAGACTCATGTGATATCACATTGCTACAAGTGTATTTCAAAATTTCGCCCGCCCCCTTCCGACACCACAATGGACGAAAATCTGTGGCAGCCACAATTTTAAAGATACGATAAATTTGGTCCAATTTGGTCCAAATATGTGTGTTCAGTTCAAGTATTTTTTGTCTATTTTTTCACTTTTGAGGTTTGGTTAACGATTTTTATCTCCACCGTTTATCCATAGATTTTAATGAAAAATAAATGAACCGACCTGAGGTCGACCACCCTGATCTTTCCGTCCTGCCCGGCGTGGGTTGCGACGACCCTTCCCAGGAGCCACTGTTGGGGCGGAAGGTTGTCCTCTGCGATGATGACGAGGTCGCCTTCCTCGACGTTGGGCTGCTCCTGGTGCCACTTGCATCGTATTTGCAAGCCCAGCACATACTCCCGGGACCATCGCTGCCAGAACATTTGCCTGGCTGACGAGACATGCCGCCATCGCCTTAAGCAACTCAGACCCTCCTGGTCCGGGGTGCTGGGGGTGCCCGCCTGTCAGCAGGTGCGCGGGAGTCAGGGCGTCTCCGTCGCCATTACGCTCTCCAGCTCCTCGGCGGTGAAGATCGCGCTTCCGGCCGACCTCAGCAGGAGGTTTTTGGCCGACTTCACTCCTGCCTCCCACAGTCCGCCCATGTGCGGAGCTCGAGGTGGCAGGAAGGCAACTCGCAGCCGCTTCTCGCTGCGAACTCGCGTATTGCGTCCGCTTCTGTCCTATCGTCCTCCTCAGCTCGTAAAAGTGGCGACTTGCACCGGCGAAGATTGTCGCGTTGTCGCAGTTCATGCGAAGCGGTCATCCTCGACGACCAACGAACCTTTGAAAAGCCAATAAGAAGGAGTTAGTCGTTAGATCGGAGACAATTTCTAGATGAACCGATTTGGACGCAAAACAGACAAATAACGCTAGGTAGGACTTATAAGGGGGCCTTCCACGAATTTTTAGTGTCGTATAGACTGGGCCTCAAAAATCAACGCCACATACTGCGAATGGGCGGAGAGCACGGAGCCGGTCTGCGGGTAGATTTCCCATCATTTGGGTCTGGAGTCGAGGCTTGCATTTAAAGCAGCGAATGCACGACCTGACCATTGCCCTGCAGACCTCCTGAGCGTTTATTATCCAAGCACGCTGCCTAAGGATGCTCACAAGTGCTCGAGGGCCGGCATGAAAATTCGTTTGATGCAGATAGCAAATATAGGTCTGCACAAACAGCGAGCGTTTTGTCAACAGCAGCGAAAACTTCGCATGGTTCTAACCTAACCTGGTGCCTTAACGAACCCTTTCGATCTCTTCCTTATACTCGTTTTTCTGGATCAGCTCGACAATTTTGTGAAAAGCCTCATCGTAGTCTACTGGTGACGGAGCGACTTCAAATTTAAGATTTTTGTCTTTGCATGAAGCGGAACACGTAAACGAACACTCTTAGCAGCTTGAGTATCCCTCGATTATCCCCACTAAATCATTTGATTTAGCGGCCACGGTCAGTCCGACCGCTGTCTTCCTAGTTTCCAGCTTCAGCTCTTCCTCAGAAAGCTCGAAGTTGAGTGTTTCTGGGCCAGATCTCTTCTTCTTCCTTCAAAAACGCTGGTCCACTAAACCAGATCGACTGCGAAATCTCCTCAGTGTCACAACCTCTCGAAACTATGTCTGCTGGGTTTTGTTTAGTTGGAACATGCCGCCACGTAGCATCATCTGACCACTCCTGAATCTAAGCTACTCAGGTCGCAACGAATGTTGATAGCGACGAAGGGTGTGATCGGATCCAAGGAAGGGTCACTTCCGAATCCGACCAACATACTATTCGTTCAAGCGGCACCTCGAGTAGCGATTTGAGTCGTTGACAGAGATCTGCGAGAAGGTGAGCGGCACATAACTCAAGCCTTGGAAGCGTTTTCGTCTTGAGCGGCGCTATTTTCGACTTTGCAGTCAACAACGAGACTTTGAAACCTTCTGCAGTCTTACTACGGATATAGACGCATGCTCCATGTACTTGAATCGGTGACATGGGATCAGTATGCACAAAGCGAAGTATGGCAATCTTCTCCAGCTGACCCAAGGATTCTTTTTGAAAGTTGCAAGATGTTTCCAGATTCCTTGGAATTGACTCATCCCAATCTAGTTTGTTGAGCCCCACCTCCTGCAGTATGTCGGCATGTACTTGAATCAGTGACATGGGATCAGTATGCACAAAGCGAGGTATGGCAATCTTCTCCAGCTGACCCAAGGATTCTTTTAGAAAGTTCCAAGATGTTTCCAGATTCCTTGGGATTGATTCATTCCAATCTAGTTTGTTAAGCCACAGCTCCTGCAGTAGGATCTTTCCCTTGATTACCAAGGGGCTTAACAAACCAAGGGGGTCAAACAGCTTTGATGTCACCGATAATATGTTCCGTTTTGTCGCTCGGAGACCCATGACTGAACTGTCAATTTGAAACCGAAAAACGTCTTCGTGCGGTAGCCACGATATTCCTAACGCCTTGGTTGACTCGGAGTCCGGGATCGTTATCGGTTTAACTGTTCTCTCGGATGCTGTGCCCTCAGGTGAGATCGAGAATCACTTGGTTAGCTCAAATCCTGCGGTTGGAAGAACCTGAGCCACATCAGACTTAATTTTCTTTAACTCCTCCACGCAACCAGCACCAGTCAACATATCATTGACATAAAAGTCGGACCGGATAACTTTAGCAGCCTTTGGGAATGAGAGCTTTGCAGACTCACTCAACCTTTTCAAACACCGAAAAGCCAAAAATGGGGCAGGTTCAGTCCCATATGTTACAGTGTTGAGCTGGTATATTCTCAAGGACTCTTCTCCACACTATCAACTGAAACTGCCTATCCGCTCCATTTACCATCACTTGGCGATACATCTTTTTTACATCGGCAGCCAGGGCGAACCTGTGCAGACGGAAGCGGAGCAGCGTTGAGTATAACTCCTCTTGAATAGTCGGTCCGACCATCAGAATGTCATTCAAGGCCACCTGAGAGGACGTCTTCGACGACGCATCGAACACGACGCGAAGCTTCGTGGACTTACTTGGGGGCCGAAGGACACACTGATGTGGAATAACGTAGTGTGGAGCAGAAGGAACAGTATTGTCAGTCGGCGACATATGACCTAAGGAGAGGTACTCTTCCATGAATTCCAAGTACATTTTCTTCAACTCAGGGTCGCGGGACAATCTTCTTTCGAGCGACAAAAACCGCCGTTTAGCAATCACGAAGGAATTGCGCAAGCAGTTTGGATCGGATTTAAACGGTAGCCGTACTTCAAACCGACCTGAAGGCAAGACTTGAGTAGTCTTTCTATAATGCTCCTCACATAACTTGTGTTCAGGAGATAAAGACTTTTTAGAAGATGGCAATTGTTTTAGTGACCAAAACTTTTGTGTGTGTCGATAGACCCCACTGACTCTTCCCGACAACTCAGACAGTTCCTCGCTTCCTGGGTGACAGTCACCTTTGGACTGTATCTTCCAGACACAATCCAACCGAGAAACGTTTTCTGCAGAGTTGGATAGTCAGGACCTTGTCTAATTTGACCAACCGATAAGAGTTCGAAAAATGACTCTGCACCTATAAACATATCTATTCTTTGTGGCTTGTAGAAATAATTGTCTGCAAGAGGTAGGTTCTTCGGGATTTTCCAGTCACTCACATTAAGTGCGTGATCAGGGTGGTATCCCGAGATTGACTTCAGAATCCAGAAATCGACCGAGAACTCACTACCATTGATTCGCGACTTCACCACCGTGTGTATCTTTTTCTTGACTTGTGAACTAGATTCTCCAATTCCAAGCAAGTTGAT